AACCCAAGGAGGGGTCGCTATGAGTCGGGTCTGGCTTGACGACAAACAACAACAACAATTACCCATTAAAGTTCCTTCCTGACTAAAGCCAATGCCAGCATGCTACCACACATTTCTCTTCAATCCTGTTTACCCACTGCCAAAGTCATTAAAAATGTAAGTCTGACAAGATACTAAACTCCTACTTAGCAAATTCTTTACTGGACCCCTAATACCTACAATACATCAGTCAAGACTCTTTGCAAAACATGGAAGGCACCTATTACCTAACCCTTTCTAACTATCAAGTGTCTAAGGCACTTGACTGATAACCAGAAGGCTGGCGATTCAAACCCGCCAGCCACTCCTTGGAATGAAGATGGGGCAATCTACTTCCATAGTGATACTGCCTCAGAAACCCAAGGAGGGGTTGCTATGAGTCGGGTCTGACTCAACGGCACTTAACAACAACAACAACAACAACACTCTTACTATGTGGGCTCCATAACTTTGATCAAACTTCTACCTAGAACAACTCTGCCCATGCTGCCCATTCACACTTCAAGATTTAACTTAGTCTTTGCTGGTCACCACTATTTCTCTGACATCTGCATTAAACTTCTATTGTATTCCTGGCTACACTGGTACTCCTTTATGTTCCCATAGCACCCTGGGTATCCTTCTATCACACTGATTGAAATGATTTGCTTCTTTGTCTTTAACTCTAAGTAGACTGTAAATATCTTGGGATAAGGACTAATATGCATCCTTGTATCCAAAACAACACCTGATAAGAAATCACCTGAGAGAAATGATCGTTCAGTCATGAATGACCTTAACTTCTCCATCCTCAGGAACACATTTCATTTCATATATGCATCTTCACTTCCTTCTAGTTTCAGAAGATGAGGGTTTTTCTGCTTATTAAAGGTAATGCCAATATATACTCTTTACTCTTATATATATTAGGATTTTTCTCCCAATTGATTTTTCAAAGCATTACTTTTCTTGCTAACCATTTAAAAAACTATTTTAAAATAATGTAATACTATTCAAAGTAGTCCAGACACCATAGCTTCAAACAAATTACACTTACATTCGGCTAGCTTCAATGTCGTCTGACTGAGGTTCTCCGGGTGATCTGTAAAATGTAATTGACGAAAGTTAAGCAAAATAATCCATATTTCAAAAAGAGCAGATATGTTATTTTGGAAGATAAATATGAAAACAAATTTTAAGCACTAAGTAAAACAGTTTTTAAAATATTTAAAGATTGCAATCCAAGAAAAACATAGATCAGATTGTTATTCATACATTATTTTAAGGACTGAACTAATGAAAAACTCAGTGCATTTTTTTAAGGAAAAGGAAATTGTAAATACTACATTAAGATATCAACATACAAACCAGTATAACAAATTATAATTAATCACAAAATCAAATATTTAGAATAAAAAACAACTGTGAAACTTTCTAATGCTGTCTTGCTTATCCACAATGACACAGGGACTTACTGATATTCACAGTCCCAAACTTTTATTAGATCAGGAGTTGGCAAACTATGGTTGGGGCCAGCCACCTGTCTTTGTAAGTAAAGTTTTACTGGAACACAGCCACACTGATTCATTTATATATTATCTACGGCTGCTTTCATGCTACAAGAACAGAGTTGGAGTAGCTGTGAAAAAGACTACATGAACTGCATATCTAAAATGTTTATTATCTAGTTCTTTAAGAAAAAGTTTACCAGTATCTGCTGTAGATAATTCAAACTTAAATCTAATTGACTTAGTAAGTTTCGGGACACTTAAAGATTTACCATTCTGATCATGACTACCTTGGATCAATAGTGAAATTAGCTTTCCCTGAAAATACACTGACTAGGACACACTTACTACCTATCAAAAATGTACCACCCTGGGGTATTAAAATTTTGCTGTGGACAACTGTGAACTGACTTTAGGTATAAACAGTTGCCAGTTAGTTTTCTATTATTTCTGAATATATTGCTACTATCTTATGTAGATATATTTAAAATTTTAAGACACATAGAGGTCTTTTATTTTCATTTTGGGGACATGAATCGATTTCTTCTATTCCTACCATACCGTAAAAAACGTAAATTCCTATTGTCCTATTCACTTTCATAAACAGCATCAGTAAATATATTTTAAGATGAATAAACATAATACCTACTGCTAAATTTATTCTAGTCCCTAAAGAGGCCATTTATTCAAATTCCCAAAATACGTAAAATAATTGTTTTAAGTCAAAAGCTAAACTTTCAAAGGGGCATTACAAGAACTTGACTTGTGACCTTATCACTGACTTTAGATTTCAAACTCTGAACAACTTTAATAAAAGAATCTTAAAATAAGAGCCACTAGGAGAAAAAAAAATATATTTTTCACATTCCTTAGCTGTAAAAAAAAAAAAAAAAAAACTCATTTCTTTATTAGACTTTCAAAATTGCCCCTCACTGCAGGGTTTATTCTAAGGACAAGAATGAAGGGGTGAAAAAAGGTTCCAGCTCAATTACTTATTTTAGATCTTCTTTGAGTATATTTATTTATTTTATACCTCTTTTGTAATATATTTAAATTTCAATTTTGTACTATGTAAGAACTAAAACTGGGGCATGCTGGAGGTGGCAGTGACATGGCAGTGACACAAATGCAAAAATTTCACTCCACCCTCTCCCCCAGGGAGCAAGCAAATCACCTTTGTGACACACCTGGTCTCCACCAGCCTTGTGGGTAAGTACCCCAAGATTGCTTCCAAACTTGTATCTCCCAGACAGAAGAGCTAAAAATTGATGATAACCCCATGTACCAGCTGACTCATTTTTGAAAGTGCGACCCTCCAGCATCAGATGTCATATTGTAAGGAGGCAGAGCTGGCTTGCAAAACAAAAAATAAACCTGCTGGCACTAAGGGAAGAGAGGCAGATTAGAAGCTTTCAAACACGTAGGCAGCAAAACTTTCAAAATTAACAGGAAAACAGAAAGGCAAAGAGAGGGAAAAGATGAGGACACAACAACAGGAAAATAAAAATATTACTGCAAAAAGGTAAGACACAAGCAAGAAGGAAAGCAAATCCAAGTCTTAGAAGCATAATATGTAATAGCTACAAAGTTTTGAGATTCTGAAATGGGAGAAAGGTTAAATACATCATCAGATAACTACACTCTATTTCTCCAGTTTCCATTCCCTAAATAAGGGAAAATGTGAACAGTAATATCAATGTATTATCAAATTTTGAATTTACTAGTTTATATAAATTTAACAGTAACATGTATTAGAATGAGCTACTAAACATCATTTATAAATAAAACCAAGTAATTTACATCAATCCAAACAAAGGGAAGGGCAAAAGAACAAAGGATTAAAAGATATTACCCTACAACAGATCTGTCTGCCTCTTAAACACGGCTAGCACAGGTCTCTTTCTATTTAAATTGGAACTTGATTGCTTTTCAATCAAGAGAAAAGTGAATATGCACAGAATAAACAAATACTCTTCAGTGAGTTATATGTAATAGTGCATGTCTAGCATATATCTGCACATAAATATTCTAAATAAGTCACCAAAAAATTCCCCAAAGTGAGGACATAAACTCTCAAAACTATGAAATATATAAATAACATCTAGCAATAGCTCCCAAACTTTATTTTAGCCCCTAAAGAGAGTATTTATTCTTTACTGTTAAGTGTTTGGAATTTTAGAAGAATCCAGTATGGGCTCATATTTTTACCAAATTCAAAACTAATTCTTACCAAAGTCAAAAGAAAAACAACAACAAAATTACTGACTTAAATTAGCCTGAAGTTTATCAAAATAACAAATCAGAAAAAATTTTAAACTGGAGCAATAAGCAAGTAAAATTAGAAAAAAAAAAAAATAAATAAAAGAAATCTTGGAGTTATCTCAATTTTAGTTCTTTAGAAAATATGATCACCAAATGGCAACTAATCTGAATACTGCAGCATGAACTAGCAAATTCAAATGGTGGCTCACTTCCAAAAATACTTGGTGCAGCTTCTCCATCCTGCAAGCCACTCCTTTTACCTCCACTGTAACTCTCTAGGAGAGAAAAGTATACTAGTTTTATTAAAGTTGTAAAAACTTCTAGGGAAGTGTTTAGTTAAAACTTTCACTACATAAAAGGCACACTTTAAAAAAACACATATTAAGAAAATGTCCATGCCTTTTTAAATAATGTTCACAATAAAATGCTTATTTTAAAACTTCACATTTCTTGAGAAATACTTTCCTGCTTTATTCATACAGGTCTTTAGTGGTGGCTACTTGGAAGAGTCCCTGAGTGGTGCAAATGGTTAAATGCTTGACTATTAAGTGAAAGCATCAACCTAGAGGTGCCTTGGAAGACATGCCTGGGGACCTGGTCCCAAGATCATAGCCTTGAAAAACTTACAAAGTGTAGTTCTACTCCGCACACATGGAATTGACTTGACAGCAATTATTTGCTGTTTTTTGGTTTGGTACTGATAATTTCAATGTGGAAAAAATGTATGAAAAAACTTTAAGTAGAAGATTAAATGGAGAAGTAGTTCAAATGGTTCACTTTTCTTACAGCAGTATGCCTGCCAACTATTCGTTTTTACATCATGCATATTACTTTATAATGATAGCCTTTAAAAGGCTGTAAAATACATTCAACATTACCTTTTACAAGCTGTGGCCATTCGGTGACATCAGGGTGATCACAGCTTTGAGTCACTGATTAAAAACAGGTTGTCACACCAGTCTAGCTGCTAACTTGATCTGACCGTGGGCTTAATAACTCTAATAAATTAAACAAACCTTTAGTTAGAACACTTTAATATAACCCAAACCACTGTTGAAAAAGTAATCTTCAAAGCTTAAAATTGTATCAATATAAAATTCATCAGAAGAATAAATTATTACAGAAAAGCTTTTAAGAACTGTTTTTCAGCATTCCCCCTTCACCCCCTTAAATGACCTATTCACTTGAAAAAATGTGGTAACAACGCCTTCAACTTTTATGGAGTGTTACAATTTACAAAGCACTTTGGACAACATTTCTTGTTTGAGTCTCATGACAGCTCTGGTTCTATCTAATCAGGGTAGATACTATAGCATTAATTAAAAAACATAAATGACTTGGCCAAAATTTCCTATTTATTATTGGAATTTGGATTAAAACTCAGATGCACTGACTTCCTCCTAGTCATGGTTGGAATTTTTGATTTGGTTTACTTTTGCTATACAGTTTCATGATTTAAATTATGTAAATGAGCAAAAATTGAGAATATGGATTGAGATTTCAAAATTAAGTAAATAGTTTAAATGGGACTAATTTAGTAATAAGGTTTTTAAACTGAAGGAGAAATCACTACTAACCAGAAGGCTGGCGGTTCAAACCCACCAGCCACTCCTCGGAAGGAAGGTTGGGCAATCCTACTTCCGTAGTGATACTGCCTCGGAAACCCAAGGAGGGATTGCTGTGAGTCAGGTCCGACTCAATGGCACATAACAACAACAACAGAACTTCCCTGTTTGTCATGGTTCAAATGAGTTGCTGAGGGGGCATAGTGCCTAAGGCATCTGACTGATAACCAGAAGGCTGGCGGTTCAAACCCACCATCCACTCCTGGCAATCTACTTCCGTAGTGATACCACTTCGGAAATCCAAGGAGGCGTCACTAAGAGTTGGATCTGACTCGATGGCAGTGTGTTTAGTTTGGTTTAATCATATTGCAGTATTGGCAGTGACATCCTACAACAGAAATATCCTAATATCAGTTAACTCATTTCATGCAATTAGCTTTTTGTTTCATGATTCCCCCATCAAGTTGTATATCCAGGCCAAATCTGAAAAGCACACTAAAAGAAGATAATTAGAAGTAGGAAAAAGACCATTCATAGTTAACATCTTCAAACTAACCACAGAGAAGTAGAGAAGGGAGTACCTGCAAGGATATGTAACCCAATATAAAACAGCAAGATATGAAAACCTTAGGTATGAAGAAGGATCAAAATAACGCTTGAGTCTACACCTCAGCAACCCATTAACAAAGGTCTTCAAATATATATAAGCATGAGGGTTGGCCTGAGTATATTAAGCAACTTTAACAAGGATTCCAAGAAATAGTACTTAAAATCCCTGGAAGACATCATTCAAATTGCAGATTTTCCTATCATAGCTACATGTCCTCTAAAGAAAACTAGTCCCGAGGCCACATGAGTAATGGCGCCCCTGAAACGAACAATGTGGTTATGTTATAGTTCCCTCTTAGGTTTTAATCAGACTAACAACACGTGGATTTAGAAGATCCAAATACTATTATATAAATCCAACTTCCAACTTGTAAACACAAAAATGAGAACGTTAAACTAAGAAGTAAATTAATATTAAACACCTATGTGTTTTCAATTTTTTCTGAGATCTAATTCTCCACAGTGCATAAGCAGAATGCCTGAATGAAGACCCCGTTTGATCACTTACAAGATGAAAAATCTTGGGCAAGTTACTTAATGGCTTTGAGCCTCAGTTTTCCCATATATAGAACTAAGATAATAGCAACACCTGTTTTAAAGGATTGTTAGGGTGAGTAAGTCACGTCTAAAGTGCTCAGAAACTCAGTGCCTGGTATACTGCAACAGCTCAGCAAATAAAAGCTATTATTAATTATCATCACCTGGCAGTCAAATTTACCCCCTCATCTCCTTAGGTATACCTGCTATTGCACTTTACTATTTAACTTAGTAACCAAAAGAGCAAAAAAACAAAACAAAAAAACAACCAAACTCACTGCCATTGAGTTAATTCTGACTCATAATGACTCCCTTTGGGTTTCTGAGGTAGTAAATCTTTATGAAGTAGATTGCCTGGTCTTCCATCTACAGAGTGGCTGGTGGGTTTCAACCACCAGCCTTCTGTTTAGCAGTCAAATGCCTTAGGCACTATGCCCCCTCAGCAACCCATTTGGGTCCTTTGTACAGTCTAAATGATATTTATAAAGCTCTAAATAAATTCCTTGAGAGTAGGATTTGTAAACTTTTATTCTCTTGCACATCCCTCATTAGTACCTAAAACAATGTTTTAAAAATGGCAGTAACCCAATCTGCTGAATATATCTATCATTATTCTAACATTCAGGCCAAGGGTAGACAAGCCATGACAGTAAGATATACATACAATATGAATCAAACAAAATGAAAACATACCATAGTTCGCCAAACTTCTGATGAGCTGGTGAATTCTAAATCAGGCTCTTACAGATTTTTAACCTAAAATATAAAACACCTCACTCAATTCTTTTTATAAACAAACTGGATACATATTCAAAACTAAATCCCCCCTCCCGAAATTCACTATAAAATAAAAGCAATTTCAATTTCTGTAATACAGAGGAATACTCAAAAATATTATCAACAGAAAAATTACCCTAGGCTGTTGCCAGGATGAATAGATGGGTGGTGGTTAGGCAGGTCTGAGTGCTTTCAGTTGGCAGAGCTATATTTCCTATTTTCATTCATTTCAATGTGCTTTACATTTGTTCACTCTTCCTGCCCACTAAAATAAGTGAAAATATATGAGAATACATGAAAACTATTTGACTACAGATGTGGCTCAGGGCTCCTGGGGCAGCTTTTTTTAAGACCAGGCCCGGGATAGGTGGGTGTCCGGCTCAAGAGTGAGCAAAGCAGTTAGGAACAACTAAGGGAGACAAACTTGTTCATCAGTTTGTCATCCTGTGGGGGCTTACACGTTGCTGTGTGAGGCTGGAGTCTATGCCACTGGTGTTGCAAAATGCCAGCAGGGTTACCCATGGTGGACAGGTTTCAGTGGAGCTTCAAGATTAAGACAGACTCGGAAGAAGAAAGAGGCCATCCACTTATCAAACAATTGGCCAGTGAAAACCTTATGAAGAGCAGTGAAACACTGTCTGAAATATTACTGGAAAACTTTATGAATAGCCCTGAAGCACTGCCCAATATAGTGCCAGAAGATGAGCCCATCAGGTTGCAAGGCACTCAAAAGAGGACTGGGGAAGAGCTGACTTCTCAGAGCAGATATGACCTTAATGATATATATGGATGGAGTAAAGCTTTTGGGACCTCCATTGTTGATGTGGCACAACTCAAAATGAGTAGAAACAGATGCAAATGTCCATCAATAATCGGAACATAGAATGTACGAAGTATGAATCTAGGAAAACTGAAAGTTGTCAAAAATGAAATGGAACATGTAGAGATCAATATTCTAGGCATTACTGAGCTGAAATGGACTGGTTATAGCCTTTTGAATCAGACAACCATATGATCTACCATGCCAGGAATGATGAATTAAAGAGGAATGGTGTGCAATTAATTGTCACAAAGACTGTTTCAAGATCTGTCCTAAAGTATAATGCTGTCAGTGACAGAATAATATCCATACGCCAACAAGGAAATCTAGGTTTATCTATGCACCAAGCACCAAAGCCAAAGATGAGAAAATTGAAGATTTCTACCAATTTCTGCAGTCTAAAATTGACCAAACATGCAATCAAGATGCATTGATTATCACTGGTGACTGGAATGCAGAAGTTGGAAACAAAGAAGAGTCACTGGTACTTGGAAAGGATGGCCTTGGTGATAGAAATAACAGTGGAGAGTTTATGACAGAGTTTTTCAAGACTTTTCATTGCAAACACCTTTTTTCACCAACATAAGTGACAACTATACACATAGACTTCACCAGCTGGAATACACAGGACTCAAATTGACTGTATCTGTGGCAAGAGTGACAGAAAAGCTCAATATTATCAGCCAAAACAAGGTCAGGAGAGAAAACAAGGTCTGTGGAACAGACCATTGACTGCTCATATGCAAGTTCAAGGTGAAGCTGAAGACAATTAAAACAAGTCCTGAGAGCCAAAATATGACTTTGATAAAATTTCTCCTGAATTTAGAGACCACTTAAAGAACAGATTTGATGCACTGAACACGAATGACCGAAAACCAGAGGAACTGTGGGATAACATCAAGAACATCATCCATGAAGAAAGCAAGAGGTCACTACAAAGAAATGAAGAAAAGACCAAAAGGGATGTCAGAAGAGACTTGAAAACTGCCCTTGAATGGAGACTAGTTAAAGCAAATGGAAGAAATGACAAGATCAAAGAGCTGAACAGATTTCAAAGAGCAGCTTGAGAAGACAAAGCCAATTACTATAATGAAATGTGCAAAAACCTGAAGTTAGAAAACCAAAAGGGAAGAATACACTCAGCATTTCTCAAGCTGAAAGAACTGAAGGAAAAATTTAAGCCTCAAGTTGCACTACTGAAAGATTTTATGGGCAAAATACTGAATGATAAAGGATACATCAAATGAAGATGGAAGGAATACACAGAGTCACTGTGCCAAAAAGAACTGGTCAACGTTCATCCATTTCAGGAGGGGGCACATGATCTAGAACCAATGATACTGAAGGAAGAAGTCGAGGCTGCACTGAAAGAATTGGCAAAGAAGAAGGCTCCAGGAACTAAGAGAGTACCACTGAGATGTTTCAACAAATGGATGTCCCACTGGAGGCACTCATTTGCTATGCCAGGAGATTTGGAAGACAGCTACCTGGCCAACTGACTGGAAGAGATCCATATTTGTACCCATTCCAAAGAAAGGTGATCCCACAGAATGAGGAAATTACTGAACAATATCATTAATATCACATGCAAGTAAAATCTGACTGAAGACAATTCAAAACGGTTGCAGCAGTATAGTCACAGAGAGCTTCCAGAAATGCAAGCTGGGTTCAGAAGAGGACAAAGAACAAGGGATATCATTGCTGATGGCAGATGGATCTTGGCTGAAAGCAAAGAACACCAGAAAGATATTTACTTGTGTTTTATTGACTATACAAAAGCATTTGATTGTGTAGATCATAACAAATTACGGATCACATGGAGAAGACTGGGAATTCCAGAACACTTGACTTTACTTATGAGGAACCTGTACATAGACCAGGAGGTTGTTGTTCAAATGGAACTAGGGGATACTGCATGGCTTAAAATCAGGAAGGGAATGCCTCAGGATTGTATTCTTTCACCATACTTATCCAATTTGTATGCTGAGCAAATTATCCAAGAAGCCTGGACTACATGAAGAACAACATGGCATCAGGATTGGAGAAAAGCTCATTAACAACCTGTGATATGCAGATAGCACAACTTTGCTTGCTGAAAGTGAGGATGACTTGAAGCACTTACTGATGAAGATTAAAGACTATAGTCTGCAGTATGGATTACCCCTCAATATAAAGAAAAAAAAAATCCTCACAACTGGTCCAATAAACAGATTCACAGTGGATGGAGAAAAGACTGAAGGTGTCAAGGACTTCATATTACTTGGTTCTACAATCAACACCAATGGAAGCAGCAGTCAAGACATCAGACAGCATATTGCATTGGGCAAATCTGTTCTAAAAGACCTCTTTCAAGTGCTGTAGAGCAATGATGTCTCCTTGAAGACTAAGGTGCATCTAACTCAAGCCATGGTACTTCCAATCACCTCTTATGCATGTAAGAGACGGACAATGAATAAGGAAGACCAAAGAAGAATTGATGCTTTAGAGTAGTGTTGGAGAAGAATGCTAAGAGTACCATGAACTGCTAAAAGAACTAACAAATCTGTCCTGAAAGAAGTGCAGCCTGAATGCTCCCTGCAAGCAAGAATTGCCAGATTTTGTCTCACCTACTTTGGTCATGCTGTCAAGAGGAATCATTCTCTGGAGAAGGATATCCTGCTTGGTAAAGTGAAGGGTAAGCCAAAAAGGGGAAGGCCTTCAACGAGATGAATTTACACAGTGGCTGCAATGACGAGCTCAGGTATAGTAGGGGTTATGGGCTGGTACAGGACCGGGCAGTGTTTCATTCTGCCATGCATAGGGTTACCATGAGTCAGAAACAACTGGATGGCACTTAACAACAACAACGTCTGACTACACGCCTTTATTCCCTTTAGGTATCTACCACTATTTACCTTGTAATTTAATCGTATATTTTAAATATCTGCTAAATTCAGTGCAAGTATGTGCACCTATCACCTCCCAAAATGGCAGTGGTCGCCAAATCCTTTGACCTGCCTGAGTCTCAGGTATCTAATCTGTTAAGATGGAGGTAAAGCCTTCCAAGGTTGTTCCAAGTATTAGAGAAAATGGAGTACAAGTACACACAGTGATGCTAGGTACATAATAGGGTCTCAGTATATCATAGAATATTATTTCTTTACTCACCCATTCAACACATCTATCAAAACTTAACTCTTATCAAAAACCAAATTCTGAAGCTTAAAACATGACAATCACTGTAAATCCTTAATTCATTTTTATACAGTATTTCTCACCATTAACTTTGGGTTAAAATAAAATAATTTCATATTATTATAATGAAGAAATCAAACTCCACAGATTAAGAAACCCATTCAGTATCCTACGAGTTGATGGTCGAACAGGAATACACTACATATCAATAGTAAAAACACAAATTCTTGGACTCCATCTCCAGAAATTCTGACTTAGTGCATGTGGCATGGGTACAGGAGTTTTGTTATTTCTAAAATACATTTCAGATGATACAAAGAACCTGATTTGAGCAACATATTAAGGACATGTAAAATACCAAATGTGTAAAGGAGACTAAATAACTAACAGAAATCATAAACACCAGTAACCTTAAGTTGGCTTGCTTGCAAATTTAAACATTAACATTCTACTATGAGACCTATTATTTTATTAATATTTGTTTTTCTAGTAGAGGCTATCTGATAATTTAGTAAGAAATGCCTCTATCCATCTACCTCCATTCCCCCTATAACATCATCATTTATCAATTGTTAAAATTGCCCATCTGCCCAACTAAGAAAATCTTACCTAGGTTCTACTTGACTCCATGATTGACTCTCCCTCCACCCTCTCCCCACCCCCCACATCTACGTCTATCCTTCAGAGGAGTGGCTGGTGGGTTTGAACCACCAGTCTTCTGGTTAGTAGTCAAATGCCTTAGGCACTATGCCACCAGAGCTCCCAACAACACATATGTGCCGTCGAGTCAGATCCAACTCATAGCGACCCTTCCCTGGGTTTCCGAGGCAGTATCACTACAGAAGTAGATTGCCTCATCTTCCTTCCAAGGAGTTGCTGGGGGTATGAAGCTCCAGCCCTCTGGTTAGCAGTCCAGTGCCTTAAGCACTATGCTACCACATATACATACAAATGCATACATATGTTTATTATTACATCTGTTATG